TAGGAGATGATGGATGTCGGAGAGGTGAGGGGATTGAGAGGCAGATCTATAGAACCTGGTAGGCCATAGGACTTTGGCTTTTAATTGGCATGGAGGTGTTACATGGTATGACTTAGGTTTTGCAAAGTATTGAGAATAAAAGGCCAAGAACAGAATCAGAAGTCAAGTGAGAAGGCTATTTCGGTAATCCAAGGGGTGGCTTCAATGACTAAGGGATCCTGGATATATTTTGATGGTAAATCCAAAAGGACTTTCTGATAGATTGAATTTAGATTTGATAAAAAGAGGAGTCAAGTATCAGCCTGAGTTTTTTGACCTAAGCAACTAGAAAGGTCGAATTGCAGTCAGTTGAAAGAGGGAACACTGGATAAAACAGTTTTGTAGGGGACTATTAAAAGAGTTCAGTTTTGGATATGTTCAGTTTGAGATATTTTTTTAGATATTCAAATAGAGACATTAGGTAAGTGGTTGGATATGAGTAGAGTTCAGGAAGAAGTTCTGAAGAAACATATTTTTATGTAATATATATAAGATAGTTGTGTGTGAGTTTGGGAATTGACAGTATATGAATGACATTTAAAGTCTGAAACTGGATGAGTTCACCAAGGGAGTAAGTATAGAAAGAGAAGGAAATAGAACCTGGAAGCCCTGGGGGCACTTCACCCCTTAAGAGGACTTAGAAGACCAGAACTTGCAAAGCAACTGGGAAGGAGCAGACTGTTAGGTAAGGGGAAAACTGAAAGCGCTGTCCCAGAAGTCGAGGAAGAAAATGTTTGCAGGAGGAGGGCATGATTAACCGTGGGGTGCTGAGAGGTTAAGACAAGGCCTGAGAATTGACTGGTGGGGCAAAGTGGAGGTCATTGGTGACGTTGACAAGAGCAGCTTTGGTGAAGCAGTGGTGACAAAGCTTCATTCCACTGGACTGAAGGAAAAAAACAGTCTGGAGTCTGACCTTTGGAAAAATACTACAGTGGACTTGGAGGGGGAGATGCCAGGGATAACTAGAAAGTACCTTCAGTTTCAAGAAGTTGCTGGATCAGTGCAAGAATCAGAAACTCAACATCTTCAGGCTTCTAAAAGAATTGTGACACTCAGGATTTGGTCTGCTTCCAGCCTTGTATCTGTTCCATAATGACATGAATAATACACAGTTTCTTTGGAAAAGAATACTACTTCCTATAAAAGCCTCAAATTCTGAACTTGCAGTGCGGTCAGTACATGGAAGAATTTGGTCATTAGGACAAAGAATCTAGCAGGGATTTTTTTCCTGAAAAAAAATGACCATCAGTGCTCACCGGTCATCTGAGGTAGTTCAACCAGTCATGCAGTGCTTAGAGATGTAACAAAGCAGATTTCGCCCTGGTTTCTCAACTGCACCTCAGTAATCACTGATGGCTTTGTAGCTTCTGTTGGACTTCCTGAAAATATACTAGAACAATGATGGCAAACTGACTCCATCACAAGAATGGGAATGCCCTAAGAGTTAAGTTTCCTTTTGAGGTTTTTTTCACCTATCATACTGGAGCCTGCTTTAGTTCAATCCCCAATGAACAATAGTTAACTAGACTGGCAATGTGCTTTATTTGAATAAATTTTATTATCCTGGGTTCGAGCTCCACCTTCAGAATCCTGTGTATTGATAAATATAGAAGTCAAAATTTTTATCTTCAATTGCAATACCATATCATTCCTTATTGGAGCCTATGATGAAATACAGATATAAAGTATTATGTGTGTTTTATTCTGGAAACATTTATGCTGAAACAATCTTTATTTTGAAATACTTATCAATTTGGATGACACCTAGCATATTATACAGTAAGGTTTATATTTTCTAGTTACTCATGAAATGTTGTTTTCTTTGCTTATGTAGAATAGTCTTCAACTTTTTTTCCCTTGTCCTAGTTCACACTAAATTTCCATCAGTTACACAGATTTGTGTTGGTAGTGATTCATTTGGGGTTGAGGAAGACCATTTCCCTAGAATGGACTATCAGAATTCTAGAGTATTCTGATATATCTACTTTATGGAACTTTTCTCACACTTCCTGAAAATCACTAATATAGAATATAGCTGGGAAACAAAAGGCCATTTCCTTCACAAACCAGTTAGTTGACTTGAGATTTATTTCTGATGCAATTGCTGCCATGGGAGATATTACATGAAAATTCAACTTCGTTGAGAGGTCCAAGAGGACTATATATTTAAAAAGACATATCTCTTTTCTTATTTTGAAAGTGTATAGCATCTGTTAGATTGGAGAAATTGAAACTATTTGTACAAATATCATGCTGAATGCTTCTAACCACTAATTATAGTTCTGCTTTTTGGAGGAAAATAGAACCAGTTTGGGGTTTGCTGGCTTTTTTTGTGACAAGTCCTCTGACTACTTGAACTTACTTATCTTTATGTGAAACATCCCTAGTTCATTTATTCTGCATTTGTTCAATAAATAATTGACTTTTAAATTAGAGATTTAAAAGGGAGGTGTATTTTTGCAAAAGGAGAGCAGAAAAATGGAGTGGTAGCTGTTAAGGGGTGAGTGGCTACAGATAATGGAATCCAGAGAAGTCTGTTTTTTAAAAGGTGGAAGAAATTACAATACTTTTTTTACAACACTACTGATTTGCTACAGTAGAATTGATGTAGGTGGGAGAGAGACGACTGGATCGATCTCCTCAAGCAGGAGAAAAGGGCTGTGTATGTGAAGGAACTGGCTTTAAACAAGAATATGAAACAGTTCATCTAATGAAAGACTGGAAGCTAGAATATATGGGCGCAAATGCTGGTAAGCACATGTGGTTGTTGAGCAAGTCTACACAAGAAATGCCACTTTATATTAAAATAGTCAAGATAAGTAAGTTACCTAGGCTTCACTTTTCCAATATAAGATGCGAATATAGCACACCAGTCAAAAGATTTTGGACTCAGTATCTATGTTATCGGGCAAGTCACTTAAGTGTTTTTTGGCAGGGTCTTGGTGTGTTTTATTTGCCACTGAATGGCCATTATCTAAAATAGTGCCTGGCAAACAGAAGTTGTTCAATAAATATTGAAATAATGTTTAGAAACCAATCTGATAAATAACTGTACCTCATATGCCATATCTGTCCCCCAGGGTTGTTTGTTTGAAGATCCAGTGAAATGAGAGAATGGATGTAAAATTGCTTCGTAATATGAGAAAAGCTATTCAAACCTAAAGTGTTCATACTGGGGAGAATTAGGATAAAGTCCACAAAGTCAACTCCTTATATGAGAAATACAGTGTAAATGTGGAAACAGAATCATTATTAGCTGGACTTTTTTTTTTCCCTTAGAGGGATATACCGAGACCCTGTCAAGTACCAAGATTCTGCTACCTGGTTTGAAACCCAAGGCCTTTTCGGATTACTTAGGAAAAATACTCAGCTCTCAGAAGGCCTCAGAAGTCAAGCTCAGGCTAAGGGAAGATGGCATGGAATACCACATGGCAAAAAGGATTTGGTCTTATCAGCCGTATAATGTTACAGAACTAACAAAGTATACAAAGGCCAGAAAACCAAAACCACGTAAATCAACTAGTTTTATGTGAATGTCATAAATTCAGTTCCCAGTGATATTTACAACACTGGCGTGTGTTATTTTTACCTCTTTTTCTTCTTCCTTTGTTTTGTTTTGTTGGCAGATTATAATTTCAAAGCAAATATAGTACTGGTGTTGTGGATTTACTTTTCTAAGTAACAAAGTTTTAAATTTTTTGATGTTTCTGCTGAGAACTGAAATCCGCCAAGTATACCAGACTACTTATTTTCATAATAAATCTGTATGGTCTTCCCACATATCATAGGACTGATCTAGACCAAAGATGTGGCTGATAAGAGTAAGAAAAAAAAAATACTGTGCAGTGCATTACCATTTTCTGACCATTCCAGGGACTAAAATAAATAATATGATCGATTACTGGAGTTTGAAAGCGGTGTCCTAGAGGCTATAGCTTTTATTAGTAGGAGAAGCCCTGATCTCTGGTCCTGATGGAGTATCTGCACAGAGAAGTAAATCAACTCATGCCATCATTTTCAATTTTTCGTCATTATCATTGGTTATTAGCTATTACATAACTAGCCAAGGTCATACAAGAGGATTCAGTGGAACAATTTAGGATTACTTAGGAATCAGTCATTAGGAAGTTATTGGTATTCCCATGAGTGCTTTTAAGTGTTGCAATATGGGGCTGCTTAATTAGTCTACCAGCCTAGTTCCTGCTGCTACCCAGCACCAGGCCTTTTAGAATTACTTAGGAAAAATACTCAGCTCTCAGAAATCTCAGAAGTCAAGCTCAGGCTAACGAAAGATACTTGCTGAGTAATGCAACTCTGTCTCCTACCTTGTAAACCCGGAAGTGCCATATGTGTTTTCCTAATTAGCCCCACCAGATTTCTCTGGGCATGATTATGTGTCATGCAGCTAACTATTCTGCCTCTGGGGATTTATGCATTCCCGGTGAAATTTCTCTGCACCATGTGATGTGATAATCTGCCTACACGGGTTTCCTGTGGCCCAGTTCTGGGTCGCACTGAACAACTGGTCTTAACCTACTTTTCTACCCCTACTGCCTCAGTAAGAACAACACCCGTGATGACACCTACAAAATACATCTGACCTCTTTGTCAGCCTACTCAGCATGAGGACAAATCTGGATCAGGGGCACAGCATAACTTGCCTACTTAAAACTGTCCCCAGGGCTCTGGGAGAACTAATTTCTGTGTTTCCCCCTCATATTCACGTTTTTTTATTTTAATGTGTGGGTGCTTCTCTGAAATGTCTACGTTTCTATTGCTGCTGATTTGGCTTCTATACCTTCCTTTCTAGCTAGATGTGGGGATTTTTTGTGCTTAAATTCACCTTTAGCAGTTTGTCCAAAAAAAGTGTCTTACATTTTCACTAGTGTGTATATGTATCATTATCAGAAACAGTTCAAGCCCTGTTGACCTTTTTTTTTTCTTTTTTCTTTTTCTTTTAGAAAAGAACGCTATGCTGACTATGTTGACTATGATACGTCTGTTTTGGTTCTCGTGGTTAAGAGGTCGCACTTTGGAGTCCCCTAAGCCAGTGCTGCCCTCTCCAGGTTACAGAGGCAGTGCCCGCGTTCAAACCTAGGTTAGGCCCTTGTTTGAGAATGAGCAGAGGGGTAAGGCACGTAAAAGGACCAAGTGGTCATTGTCATGGTAAACTGAGAAACATTTGCTTATTGGCTTTCATGTGACCGCGCAGCGAAAAGAGCACCAACAGGGAACCACAGTTCTCATTTCAGCCATTGGCTCATATGATCTCAGGCCAGTCATTTTCTCTCTTTGTGCCTCAGTTCCCCACCAATAACGGGAGCCTCTGGTCTAGTCCAGGGATCAGCCAACTGTTTGTCAAAAGCCAGATAATGCCATTTGGGGCTTGGTGGGCCATTTCATCTCTGTGGCAATTACTCAACTCTGCTACAGTAGCCGCAAAGCAGCCCTATATAGGCAAAATGTAAGCCAATGAATGTGGAAGTGTTCCAATAAAACTTGACTACAGCCACTAAATTTTGAATTTCAAATAATACATTCACATGTCATGAAGCATTCTTCTTCTTTCAATTATTTTAGCCATTAAAAAATCTTAAAACCATTTTTAGATCCCAGGCTATAAAAAAAAAAAAAAAAAAACAGGCAGTGAGCCAGATATGGTCCAGGGCTGGAGTTTGCTGACTTCCAAACTAGATAATTTCAGAGAGCCCTTCCGATATAATCTACAATATCACAAGTTGACTTAACTGTAGTTTCTTTTGTTTTCTTCTTCTTGGAGGATGATCCAAAACATGCTTATCTAGGTGCTATTAGGGACATCACAAGGCACCTTGCCCCAAAAAGGATGCCTGCCAACTTCACAGTGATTAGCCTCAAATACCAGCAATGCTACTTTGACAGCTGCATTGCCCAAGGCAGCAGCCACTAGCCACTGTGGGACTGCGCACTTGAAATACGGCCAGTGCGTACTGAGATGTACTGTACGTGTAAAATGCACATCGGATTTTGAAGACTTAGTACCAAAAAGTACAGAATTTAAACTATCTCATTAACATTTTATACTGATTGTTTTAAACAATATTTTTGATATATTGAATTACATTAAATATATATCACTGATAAACACTCTTATGAAGGTTTCACATGAAAAACATTGTGGTTACTCCACTCACCCATACTGAGTCCCCCCCACCATGCCCCATTGCAGTCACTGTCCATCAGTGTAGTGAGATGCCACAGAGTCACTATTTGTCTTCTCTTTGCTACACTGTCTTCCCCATGACCACCCCCACACACCATGTGAACTAATCATAATACGCCTCAAGCCCCTTCTCCCTCCCTCCCTACCCACCCTCCCACACCCCTCCCCTCTGGTAACCACTAGTCCCTTGGAGTCTGTGAGTCTGCTGCTATTTTGTTCCTTCAGTTTTGCTTCGTTGTTATGCTCCACAAATGAGGGAAATCATTTGGTACTTGTCTTTCTCCACCTGGCTTATTTCACTGAGCATAATACCCTCTAGCTCCATCC